CTGGAGGGGCCACAGGTCTGCGCCCCCTCCTCCCGGCCGCCAGAATCGGTCCCGGGAGGAGCAGACTTGGTGTCTATATTTGGACGGACAGCGGCCCGCGCACCCGCAGGGTCCAGACACCTCGTCTCACGAGAACGCAGTGCTGGGGCAGGAGGGTGCGGGGAGGCCAGGCCTTAGGCCCCGGACTGCAGAAGCAGCCTGAAGGGCACCGGGATGCCCGGGGATGGCTTGGGGGCAGGAGTCAGTGGCTGAGGCTTTGGAAGAGCTCCTTGTGTCCCTGGGTAAGAGCAGAGGGCAGGCCCCAGCTGGAGGAAAGGCACCTCACCCTCCCCACTCCTGCAAATCTGGCCCTGGCCCCCGGGGAGGAGCACCCCACCGCCAGGATAGTTTAGTAGGAGACAGGACTCAGGAGAAGCGGGACGGAAAGTATGGTAGGCAGAAGTCAGGGGGCCGCGGTTGGAGAAGCCAGTGCAGACAGGAGTGGAAGAGAGAGGGATGACCCACCTTACACTGTGTCACCAAAACAACATGGGAGGAAACTGATGGAAACAGCAGGAAGGACTCAGGTTAGCTGACAGGAGGACCTTCTCCTTGGCAAATTTTTACAAAAATGAAAAAAAAAAAAAAAAACCCATCTGCCTGAACCACGCCAGAGATGAAGGTCATGGGGGGCTGCATGTCTAGCCCCACAGCTGGCTCTGAGCCAGGATCCAAGGGCCAAGGCCTCTGATTCTGGACAAGGTGCCTCTAGCAGATAAACCACTTCTGTGAAGAGATGCTCATCCAGGGCTGGCAGTGGGAGGGCAGCCTGGCTATGAGGCTCCTCCCCAAACCACTTCAACTTCCAGGAAGCTTTTAGGCCCAGTGCCCCCTCAGTCTTGGTCTCTGAGAAGTCAGGCCCCACCCAAATCCTAGCCCCTTGCATTAAGTAAGCCCCACTTTATAGGTGGCAAAGAGCTTTCCCATACTTCAGTCATCTTGAAGAAAGCTCCCTGCGGCTAGGACCAGACTCGGTATTAATTTATACCGAACTCCTGGCCAGATAACCCTTCTCACTTGCCACCCCCCGCACACTCTCTCTTCCTCCCTCCCACAGTTCACAGGACTAAGGACCAAAGGCCTTTGTGGGCGCTGAAATCCTCCATCTCTGCCTCCAGCCATGAGCCGGCGCGTGGTTCGGCAGAGCAAGTTTCGCCATGTGTTTGGGCAGGCGGCGAAGGCTGACCAGGGCTATGAGGACATCCGTGTGTCCAAGGTCACGTGGGACAGCTCCTTCTGTGCCGTCAACCCCAAGTTCCTGGCCATTATTGTGGAGGCTGGAGGTGGAGGTGCCTTCATCGTCCTGCCTCTGGCCAAGGTGAGGGGCGAGGGGCGAGGGGCGAGGGGCGAGGGGAAGGAGGCTGGTGGGGGGACACCGGCAGCAGCCTCTGTTCTCGCCTGGTTCCCTTCCTCAGTCAGGAGGGCTGTTTGTGTGGGCTGGCTGCCGCCTGTTCCCCAAGCCCTCACAGACCCGCTAGGAGGCTCCCTTACCCCTCCCAAAGCAGCGGCATCACCGTGGCCTGCACCCACTCGCCGCCCTGCACCCTGTTCCCAGCCGGGACCAGGAGTGGGTGCTGGAGATAGTTGGGAAGCGGTGGAATCAGAGCCTGGCGAAATTCCCTTCCTGTCTCTCCTAATGCCACACCCCCTCATGTTTTGGGGTGTGAGGATCTTTTTCCCTAGCCCAGGACAACCATCTGATGAAATCGCACCCCATAGCATCACACTGAGGACAGTCAGACTCTACCCAGAGTTCCTGGCCACCTCCCCAACCTGGTTCTTACAGTGCTGTGGAATGAAAACAAAGGTCAGGGAGACATGGCACGTAAGGCCAGAGCCCTCCCTACCCTAGGGATGGGGGCCAGGCAACGACCACCACCTTTGCTGAGTAGCCTCAAGCCCCTGGGCCATCTCCACCGCCAGCATGGCCACCGAAAGCATGACCTTGACCTGGATTCTGCCCCCTACACCTTGTTAGGGGAGGCCCCACAGGTGGCAGGAAGAGGCCTGACAATAGCCAGTGACTCACTCCAGGACAATGCAGACTCCATCCAAGGACACCATCCCCGGGTCTCAAATTTCAGCTGGAGCCACCTCCCCCACCCCCCTTACAACTGCCATTCCAATGCCACACAGCCACCCGTCTCCCCTATTGTCTGGGCCAATGCCAGCCCCAGCAAAGGCCTCAGAGCCCCCACAAACAGCCCATAAAGACCAAAAATAGATGGGCCCCAGCTCAGGTTGGAGCATAACAGGCAAACCAGTGACAAGGTGGAGCTCTGCCAAGCGTGGCTAGGAAAGGACTGTCAGGCACTGCACCATGTATTATCTCACCTTGACCCCTTCCACCAGGGCTTCCCATAGACATCCCAACTGGGGGAACAGGCTCAAGATCAGCCTCCTCCAAGTCGATGTTTTGGAAGAGCACTGGACTAAGAGTTCAAGTCTTGGCTCTACCAGCATCTTGTGTGTCCTTGGTTAAGTCATCTGACCTCTCTGTGTCTGATTCCCTGATATTAAATGACTTCAACTCTGTCTGCCTTCCTGAAGTTCAGGAAGTAGGCTGGATGGGATCAGAGGTGTAGGGCGGGGTCTGCAAGGAGGAAATGGATGATAGAGAATTGAGATGTAAACAGGCCCACTGCCTCCCCAAAATCACACAGGAGAGTGGCCCCACATCTCCCTCTCTGACCCCTCCAGACAGGAAGAGTGGATAAGAACTACCCACTGGTCACTGGGCACACTGCCCCGGTGCTGGACATCGACTGGTGCCCACACAATGACAATGTCATCGCCAGTGCCTCAGATGACACCACCATCATGGTAGGAGCCAGTGGGAATCTGCTGGGTAGCTGGGCAGGGGAAGCAGGGAGGGCTGCCTCACCTGTTCTGGAGAAGGTGGTAAGGAAGGTGCTGGGTCCCAGGGCCCTGCCCTACCCAGCTCCCAGGCTATTTTTAGCTACATGCCCACCCCCTCCCAGGATGCTCTGCTTAGGACTAATTATAGCCATGGCCAGTTTGGGCGTGAAGAGCAGGGGGTTAGTGCTCTGAAGTCTCCCTGCTGGGGTGAATAGGAAGTCTCTGGAGAGCTGGCAGTGCCCCCTCCTGGCTCCCAGCTGCTTCTGACCCAGGTAGGCACTATCACATCTTGCCCTGCATTTGACACCACTTAAGAAACCCAGTAGGGTTAGAGGGGTGGAGAGGGGGGGAGTAAGGGAGGAGCTGAGGGACAAAGTGGCTCATTCATCCCACCCATCCTCTGCTTTTTCCTCCTACCCAGGTGTGGCAGATTCCAGACTATACCCCTATGCGCAACATTACCGAACCCGTCATCACACTAGAAGGCCACTCCAAGCGTGTGGGCATCCTCTGCTGGCACCCCACTGCCCGGAATGTCCTGCTCAGTGCAGGTCTGCAGGCCTAGAGAGGGGTCCCTACTGTAGATCTGGGGTGGGGGGGGTGGCAAAGGCAGTGCCCAGGTGATGGTGACTGGCCACTCTGGGCAGGTGGCGACAATGTGATCATCATCTGGAACGTGGGCACTGGGGAGGTGCTCCTGAGCCTGGACGACATGCACCCGGACGTCATCCACAGCGTGTGTTGGAACAGCAATGGTAGCCTGCTGGCCACCACCTGCAAGGACAAGACCCTGCGCATTATCGACCCCCGCAAGGGCCAGGTGGTGGCGGTGAGTGCCCGGCCTGGCCACTCCCCAGCCCCTACCCCAGGGACCAATTGTCAGGCCCCCATACCCCAAATCCTCTGAGGCCCTGGTCCGAGCTCTCACCTCCCCACCGCAACCAGAGACCAGTGTCCCACCCACTACCACGGCGCAGTGTCTGCAGCCACAGCCCCCGCCCTAAGTAAGCCTGAGCCCACAATTCTCTGCCACCTTCCCTCCCCTCCACCTCAGGAGCTAAGAGGAGGGGGCTCCTCCATTTGTGATTGAGAAGGGGAGAAGGTGCTAACTATCCTCCCACTAGAACCTGCAGGAAACCTGAGCTCCCGGACCCCTCTCCTCTCAGCTGGCGCCCAGTGCCATCTTCCAGGGCCTGGGGCCCTTTGCGCCCTAGTTGACCCGCTGGGAGGGGGGAGGGACTACCCTCGCGCATTGCTGGTCCCTGCCGGGTGCCCTGGGAGGGCGGTGGCACCTGCCTCACCAGCCTCAGACTAACGCGGGGTGCGTGGGGCACGTGCATGTGCGCCTGCGCCTAGCGCGCGCCGGCGGCGGGCCGTCTAACCCACTAACCCCGTGAGCAGGAGCGGGCCCGGCCTCACGAGGGCGCCCGCCCGCTGCGGGCCGTCTTCACCGCCGACGGGAAGCTGCTCAGCACCGGCTTCAGCAGGATGAGTGAGCGGCAGCTGGCGCTCTGGGACCCGGTAGGCCAGGCTGCGCCGGGCGCGCGCGCGACTTCGCTAGGTCAGCCCGGAGCCTTCCCAGGCCGTGGCCGGTGCCCAAGAGGGCTGAAGCGGAGCGGGGAGCTCCGGTCTGGGAACAGCCTCGCCGCGTCCCCAGGAAACCAGCAGACACCCCCCTGCGCTAGGGATCAGCCTCCGAGGGCGCTTACGGGCTCACCATCTGCGGAGAGGCGCGCTCCTCCAGGTCTCTCTAGGCCCGGGCGCTCCTCGGGCCTGGGGCCCGCTTTGGCCCCCGGAGGCTGAGTACTTGGGCCCCCTTTTGCCTCCGCCCCCAGCTCCCACACTCTAGTCTGCAAGCTGGTTGCTCGGCCCTCCAGGATCCCCAGGGCAGGCAGCTGGGTGACGCCGATCCCTGTTTTCCCCCTGCCCCCAGGAGAGGTTTTCGGCCCACGAGGGGATGAGGCCCATGCGGGCCGTCTTCACGCGCCAGGGTCATATCTTCACCACGGGCTTCACCCGCATGAGCCAGCGAGAGCTGGGCCTGTGGGACCCGGTAACGCAGCTGGAAGCTTGGGGTGTGTGCCCTGGGGACTGGCATCACGGGAGAGGGGCCAGGCGTCCCCCACCCGCAGGGCATGCGCACCTGGACAGGGCTGGGGTCTGCTGCCCTCTGCGGCGCCTACCACCCCCA